CACGAAGGTAAGCACTGGTTGTATAATTTTTGGATATATTGTATTCATACGGACATAGGTATCCGTCATGGATATATGAAGGCATATGTAGCTTGGAAACAATAGTTTCTATAAGACTATAATTTATAGCGACAAATATTTATGATGCTTGACAGGTACAATAAATCATAATGTTAATGTCAGACATTGCTCTCACGGATTTCGGTAAAACCAGTACCAAAAACTCAAGTAACGAAACACAATCAACAGTTGATTTAACACGTGTGAATTACTGCAGAATTCGCAGTGTTTGGAATGTATTAAATTGGCCAAACTGGTAATTTTCACCAAGCTGAACTAATAGAGCTCGCCACCTATAAGTTTCGCACGGGGAAAATTCCCTTTTTGTCAATTTAGTAACACCTTTGGTAACACCATGGCCTCCGCAGCAGTGCCACAATGTCAAACTACATATGTTTTTGTATTTAGTTGCTTGATATTTTTTAGAGTTGGTGTTAAGAAAACGTGTGGGAAACATGAGTCACTTGGGCATTATAAGTCTGAAACAATACCGTGCTCAATAGTTTAACTAGGAATTGCATGTTGTGAATTATTTAAATTCAGTTTTCCCAACGGAATTAGAGAACTTTATGTTATTGAATTGCAGGAAATGTACGAGTAATTAGAAAAGTCTGTCGAGGAAGATGAATAAGTGTCGTAGATATGTATAAGTTCGTATTTGAAAAAAAATGTACGGAAATAAATTTAATGTACACAATTTGTTTTTGCCACCATTTAGTGGAATGGAACCAAAATGTTTATATTGGATTGCGAGGCCCTGAACCATCGGGGCCACGGACTACCCGTCTTTCCCCCTGATAGTGGATACCAAAGTTTCCAACAGGAACTGTCCGGAATGGACATAGTGGTTACGGCCATCGGTGACGTACACATCGTGTGGACCACAATTATAAGTGTAAGTTACACCATAAAAGTTTGAAAAGTTCTAGAAATCTTACAAAAACGAGTAATGGGGGTGCTCACGTCATCCATTAATTTCCAATTGCACTTCGCCAATGTCGCAAATATGCTAAATATAAGCACACACTCCCATTTCCCAGGTAAATTTCGAAGGTATGGAAAAATTTAGAAATTTGTAATCTATCAAAACATGTAGTCAGGAGTACGCCCAACAGTAAATTTCATAAAAAAATATAAATTCCATTATCTCCCAAATAGTAAATTTTTATCGTGGGGGCACTAAGATAAGTAAGCGTGTTTCCCCTTCTTTTTACAGATTATGCTGGTCGCCGTGTTCCCCATGGCAACCGACTTGTTCAACAAGTCGCGGATCCCTCCAGTGTCCTCCAACCACACTGTCGACACAAACCTCACCTTATCTGGGTAGCCATATGCCTATAACTGCACATATACACGTATGAATCCATACACAGTGACTCTCGATTGCCATGATTTAATCGGTTTATGGAAAACGTTTGCATCAGATTCTGGACTAAATGTTTGTCTTAAATATGTGTTAATACTGTATCAAACATGTAAATTATGCATATCGTGATGGACCTTATCTTTATCAGGCTATAAAACAGTGAATATAAATATCCCGGTTTAAATTCGTGTCAAAAGTTTCACACATTGGTAAATGAATGGTGAAAATACTATAGGGAATATTATTGTTTGAGGTAGAAATATCATACAATAATTTTACATTAAATTGAACAAGTATCAAAATCCTCTAGCAAATTATAACTAAAGTTCTAATGTGAAGAAAAACAGTCAGAATTATGGGGTTAATTGCCTCGATGATGTTAAGATATCCTCAGTCTAACTCTAAAAATTTTGTGATTATTTTAGTTGTATTAGTCGAAATTTTGGTTTGAACTATGAATATTTAAATCAACAGAAACATCGAGAATTTGATCTGTTTCAAGTTAAATAGTTGCACAGTATTAATAGACATTATAAATGCAGTTTGTGTGTTAAAATTTGCGGTTTTGATTTGATTAAATCCGAAAATTACCAAAAAACAGATATCTGAACAGATATCAGATATCTGAAAAAAATTCAGATCAGATATCTGATTTTACGATTGTTTATCTGATCTGATCTGTTATCTGATTTTTGAATCAGATAGAGGTTGCTAATGGCTCCTAATGGAGGAATATGAAGTGAAAGTGATAAATATTTTGTGTATAGGGACCAAAAGGGGTGACCCATACCGATTTTTAGAAATCGTCGTAAGAAGCTGAAATTCGGCAGGGTATATAATATGAAGTCAAAGATGAACAAAAAGTAACCAGAGGGGGACTAAGGGGTACCCAATAGTACCCAATCCGATTTCTAAGATTTTATATATTCAGCTAAAATTTAGTGTGGAGTTGAAAAGTAAGTTAGGATTAAAATTTAACGTTGACTTAGGTGACTCATCGTCTCAAAAAATCTCACGGCAAAAAACACAGCGCGAAAGCTTTTTAACATGGAGTACATTACCCGAATGAGCCGAATTATTTTATTATTTCGTACCACTTATTTTTATTTTGGCGTAAAAATCATACGAAATTAAATAATGTAAACGCCAAAATAAAATAAACTGGTGTAAAATAATAAAATAATTCGGCTCATTCGGGTAATGTACTCCATGTGATGAACTCAAGTTTACCTACATACCAAAGTCACTTGGCACACCATGATTTCAAAATCGTTTTCTGGAACAATGAAATAAAAAATAAAAAATCCGTCGGGTCATTTTGTAGTCAGTAAGTTGATTAATGGGATAGCGATGAGTTTTTTTTAAAGAAGATAAGCCAATTCTGTTGATATCGATTTTTCTGAAGGCCTTCGCTCTTTTTGGTATTCCTCCTTCAAAACGGGTCAAAATCTACTGTGCATATTTTTAATAAATTGGTACTGACCTGCTCTACAAAATGACCCGATGGAATTTAAAAATACATTCCCAGAGCCGAGAAATGAGTAAAAATGTGCAGATTTTTAGACCTGTGACGTCACAAACGATGAGTCATCTAAGTCAACGTTAAGAGGGTTGAATGTTTAAATTTTTAAATAGAAAATTCTAAGAAACATGAGGTTTCTAATAAATCCTGGTTCGGGCTTAGCAAAGCTGTACTGATAGGTTTTTTAATAATTTAATAATTCTAATTTTAAACTTACTAAATTTAATCATTGTCTTTAACAATATTCCCAGGCTGTAATCATTATTTAGTTCAATAATATTTAGTTCAATAGATATAAACTAATTTATGTAATTATATCAAGTGTCAAATTAGTATTCAAAATAGTTTGCCAATTTGTAACAATGCATGGGATTTGTCGAATTGTATAATTTCAAGTGCTACAATTTTAAATAAATGTGGACAATGTAATTGTCAACGAAAAATAATAATTTAGAGATAAATCGTCACCTGCGGAGGTTTTACATATGTATGGTGCCCTATTTTTGGGTAATGATTAAGCAGACGTTTCGTCACCAACGGGGAATTAGTCGAAAACCGGTGGACAAGACACCCCTATTTCACAAAATCTTGCGTATGTATTTTCGTCTGAAGATAAGATTTTTAGGAGAAAAATTTTAAATTTTTAGGAGAAAAATTTTAATTTTTTAGGAGAAAAATTTTAAACTTTTTTAAACGACCTGTTTGGTAGACAAGTCTTTAACTTACTTTCCCTTGGTGACAAAATGTCTGCTTATGAATCATTACCTAAAAATAGGCATAATCTAGTACTCTGTACCTTCGATGGTAACCGATTTACCACCAAATTATTTAAAGGATTATGAATTTATGTTTATTTTTGGTGCATCCATCATAGTTGAGTCGGATCCGTGTTTTCATAAATCCGATCCGATCCGTTTTTCGGATTAAAAAAAATATCCGATCCGACCCGTATTTCGGATTTGAAAAATATCCGATCCAATCCGATCCATTTTTTGGGTTCTAAAAAATATCCGATCCGATCCGTTTTTTGGACTGAAAAAAAATATCCGAGCCGATCCGATACAAACGGATCGGATCGGGCCACGGATTAAAACGGGTATCCGACTCAACTCTGGCATCCATTCAGCTCACGTTTATCCTTCTGGGTACACATAAATATTTATGTAATAATTGGCAAGTATGGATGCGGATTAAATTCGGATGACTGAAGTCATGGGTTGCAAAATATGTTGCACGAGTCATAGAGTCATATGTATGTATCAACCCTCTTAAAAGTAATGTTAGCCTTTTGAAAAGCATGTTTACTTACGGCTGCACATTATCTAAGTAATAACGTGCGTTTGCGTTTGTTACATGTTTACATGAGGTTTTGACTTACATACTTAACAGAAAGTCTGCTTAATCGTAACTCAAAAAGAGAGCACTAAAATATCCTACGATTTGTCGCCAATTTATTTAGAGTGTTATACTCTTTAGGAAACATCCAGTTTCGGATATTTGGAATTTCATCGATGTATGTGCATATTTATTGATTGGTTTTTACGAGTTAGAGAGAGAGAGAGAGAGAGATGATAAAAATACACTAATTTCTACCCACCACTTTCACTTCACCCATAAAAATTCGAACCTCTTTTGAATGCATTTATTTCAACAAATATGTACGCCACCCTTAAAAGATAGTTTTTGGCACAGGAATAGTTTTTAATATTATGTATACGGACGTTCCACGTGAAGATGGTTAGCAAAGTTCAGTTATTGTGAAAGGGTGGAAATATGTATGGAATGTATCTCCTACAGTCAATGACCCATCGGAACGTTCATACGTTACGTCATCATAAAAACGCCAATTTTTCGAGCACTCATCCTCCGCTTCCATATCCTATTTATGTTTACTTTTAAGCGAGATATGTAGGTGTCCGGAAACCACCACAAAGACGTTCTAAATGGACGTTCCTTTGCCGTAGTAACCTTTTTGGAGTTATTTTTGTCCCTGCATTTTCCTCGAGATGGTAATAAAGGTTCCCTCACTCACTTGTGGAATGTGCTCGCCTCTGTTTTAATAAAATTTTGAAGGAAGGTTTTTCAGAAATTTAATTTGTATTAACCTTCAGCCTGTTAACTGTTTAATTTTGCTGCTTTGGAGTTCACATTGATATGGAGAATTCTACCGAGATTTGGCACCTAATTTCTCACCTGCCCGAGGTACGTATTTATTTATGTCATTTGTTCTCTTGATTTTAAAATATTTCTTAAAGTGGAATAATTCCGTTTGGAATTTTTAATCTGACTCTAATCCGGTTGAATGTCGAATGCAATTTTTTTTAAATTATGTGTGTACATCGAGTTCATGAGTTTGGAGATCAATCCAAATTCTTATTACAAATTGTCATTACAAATTTTCGAATTTATGCTTATTCATTTCTTATGTTCAATTTAGAGAATGTTGAATTTAAAGTTCAAGTTTAAGTTCTTCCCACAATAAAATTTAATTGTTTTTTTTCAGGTAATTCACAAAATTTTGGAATTCCAGCCCCATCCCGACTTGGAATCCGCCTGTTTGGTCAACTCCACGTGGGAGGAGGAAGCCCTGAAGCATCTTCTGGCCCGAAATCCGGTTCATATCCATCCTCGCAACGTCACTGACCCCTCCGATGTCCTTCATCCCCTGAGGATGCTGTTCCCCTCTTACGTCCGAATATTCTCACAGGAGGCGAACAACCTGGATTCTTTAATAGACCTTTTCAACACGAGAAATTTTAAAAACGTTACAAAATTATGGGTTGATTTTCCCCTAGAAAAGAATTTGCGACACGTGGCATGCAATTTGGTAAAAATCCTGGGGAATGAATCCTTCAAAAATTTGAAATCTTTAAAATTGCAGCCGACCATGACCACTTATGGTGCAAGTTTTTCTTCCGAGGTAAAATGGATGGACTTATTTCCCGAAAACGTTCCCCTCCTGGGAAGAAAATTGGCCAAGCTGACCATTGATTTGACTTATTTGTTCCCTCCATTTTTTAGGGGGAAGTTACGTAGAATTGTCTCCTTGGTGACACGAATTCTCTGGGTTTTTAGGCACGTGACCCATCTCAATTTATCCGCTGTGCCGGGTGGAATTTTTGACAGGAAAGGTGTGACATTACCCCACCTGAGGGTAGTATCAATGATAAAAATCAGTCAGCTGGATTATTTCTACACAAAAAACGAAAAGATTATGAAGTTCTACAGATTGAATTTGCCGCTTAGCTCAAATTTTGAAAATGTGACGAGGTATGAGTTTAACGTTCTCTCTTTTGACAGTGTCGATCAGTTCGAGTTGTTTCGTCTACTCGCCCCGCAGTTGGAGCAGGTTTGCATCTCCTCAGTGAAAAGTAGTGCCCCGAAAAAACTCTCCGCTCACGTGGTCCCGATTCTCCCACGGTTGAAGGCTTTTGAAGTTTCGCGAGACCAAAGAATGACCTACAGGGGACGTAGCCCGGGGGAAAGCTGGTTTCGACCAGAGCTTTGCTTGGAATTTGAGAGTGGCGGGGATTCGGTCAAGTTGGTATATGCGAGACAGTTCCCGGTTCATGAGAAGTTAAGGGTGCATGTGGTCCCGGGATCCTGGAAAAACTCGGATGAACAAAATTTGGACTTTGAGGCGACCATGCTTTTTTTGTGTGAAAACTTTTTGGCGGAGGGGGTAGAACCGTGTGAGACATTGAGGAATTTGGATATTTCGTTCCCCCCGGGGGGAAATGTGGGCAGTATGGAAATGATTAAGCGGTGTGGGTGTAAAGAGGGTAATTGCCAGTGTTGGGGGTGGAAGGAAGAAATTACCGATTTTTATGAGAGAATTGCCACAATATTTCCGAATCTTGGCTACGACGTGGTCGAAATGGGAAGGAAGAATGTTAGAGTAGCGAGGATACAGAAGGTTAAGGAGATGGGGATGAAATGGGGGATATTTAGGGGGGACCAAGATTTTGAAAAGATATTGGGATTCGATAAGGCAGAATAGGAACTTCATAGGGAAAATTATGGTCAAAATTTGGTTGAATGAGTTCTGGATTTTATGTTGAATTCAAGTTAAAAATTTTATTACGTAGCTCTAACAATTTTACGAAAGTCTTGCTAATAACCATTTTCCAGTTATTACACATGTAAATGACCAACTAACATGCATTTAGCTGTAGTTTTAAATAGGAACTCTGATTTGCGAGGATATTTATATTTAAGTTTACTAATATTTATTTACATTTTTGTGTAGCTGTATTTTCTACACTCTAAAGAAAGTTGTAGAAAATTTCTGCAAAGTTGTGTAAAATTTTGTCCAAGGTTGGGGAAAAAAGAGGATGACACAACCGTTGGGCAAATTTTACTCAACCTGGTTGAGTACATAATCCTTTTACATAACTTTGAGAAGAAATTAGCTCCATAAGTTGTGGAATTTTTACTCAACTAAGAACTTAACTTGATTAAAATACACTCTTGAGATTGTTAAAACGTACCCTTTATTTTTTATAATGTTTACTCATTTTACACTTATAAATACTGCATAAGTACAAAACGATTAATTTTCATAAGTATACTTGTATTATTATTATTTATTAATCAAGCCTGCTTCTTTACAAAGCTCGCTATGCCTGACAAATTGTATGTATTACTTTCGTAAATACTATTTAAGTACAATTAAAATTTTGAGACATAATAAAAATGTCCAAACTATGATCTACTAACCTCTTTAGTTGCTGTTATTATGCCAATTTTATACAAACAGATCCATCCTACATACTGAAATGCTAATGTTCCTAGATGTCCCCACGGCTTCCGCGGCCATGGCATACATGCATGTGCGTATGCATACGCACATGCATCACGATATTATTCATACACACAAATACATAAGTACACAGATAATACAGAAAATACAAAGAAAAAAATTACTAATTTTAAGAAATCAATTGAATAAAATGACTATTTATGTATCTCGTGCCATTCTTGATTTTGTTGCTACAAATCCTAAGAATGATGGTTATTCCACTTGGAAATGTACGTACATGTGTACACATACATATTTAGAACTGTTTGGAAACGACTAATGTTAACACATATATTTTTTCACAGTCAGGTACAAATTTCAGGTTTGTACATATATAAATCGTATTTTTTGGATTTTGTATCCAGATACATATTCATAATATATGTATCATTTAATAATTGTAAGTACAGGGTGGTTAAAATGTCACGCTTCGATTGAAAATTTTTCGATGCGAAAAATTAGTAAATTTGCATTAGTTATGCAGCAAAATTTTTTCTCTTAAATTCAACATTTTAGGAATTTTGTTAACAGGGTTTTATCAACTTTAATCATTAATAAATAATTATAATTAATAAAATTCTCAATCTTAAATCAAAAACGTAATGCAGATTTAATGGCTTTTACCATTGAAAAATTGTCCTCTGCAGTGTGATATTTAAACCACCCTGTACTTACCAACTCTTGATTAAATATCGTCCCGCATGTGGGAGTACTCTAATAATCATGTTAAAACTTTGATGATTAAAGCTACACCTATTTTTGCCACTAAATATTTTTTATGTGAGAACGCCTACGCAATATGTTAGCGTCGCCTTACATTAACAGGTCTCATAATCAGGTAAATAGTTATGTCTGTAATTAAAGAATGAGTCTAAAACCTAGGTACGTTATATTACTACACGTGGTCTTTACTACAACATTTTATGTAGGAACGTCAACGTTTTACGTCATCTGAAAAACAAGATTCTTTTTATTAGCTTCCCTATCCTAGCCATGTTAATCCTAAGTTTAACACGAGTAAGATTAACGTCCCAAAACACCCAACTAACCCACTTTTCTGATTATGTAATACGTTCCCTATCCTCAGGTCCCCATATTAGGTAATTAGTTCAATTAATCTTAAAACTTTGATTATAATGTATGCATACATTGATGTTAATACATTTCGTACGTATTTTTTCAGTACTATAATTTTTTTATAGGAACGTCCACGTATTGTGTCGTCAAAAAACTAATTTTTAGTTACCACCGCTTAACTATCTCACTTATGTTAACAAGAGTAAGATGTACGACCCAATACCACCTGTTTGATGACCAATAACATGAACGTTCTCTATCTTCAGGTCCCCATTTCAGGTACACAATTAGTTTCCCGGACTACGTATGGTGTCGCCCATCTCGACCATAACGATGTCATTTTGATTTTGCCGCGCGGCCCTGCGTTCCCTTTCCACGTGTTTGATGAAGGCTTCCACAACCCAGAACTCGTACAGGTTTCCGAGCAGGAACGGGATTAGAGTTTTCGGCTCGTAGAGAAACATGAGGTTCGGACACTGGAATGCGAACATGATCAACCACGCGGTAATCTCCCAGATGAAGAGGGTCAAATTGTACAGCATCCAGAACACGCAGAGGTTTACACTTTTCTAAGTTGAAAGTTAATCCCATTAAATCGTATTTAATTATTTTTAAATAAACTCTCGAAAATATTGATGGTATCCATTTTTCTTCTTCACCTTACACTCTTACAAATCTGATTTTAAAAATAATACCTAGCGGTATTCATACATACAGGGTGGTTAAAATTTCACGCTACAATGGAAAATTTTTCGATGGGAAAAATTTGTAAATTTCCATTAGTTACCGAAATTTTGTCTTTAAAATTCAATGTTTTAAGAATTTCGTCATCAGTTTTGATAATTATTATAAAAATCTTAATCCAAAATCTTGTAAATAATAGGGATTTAGGGATTTTCCCCATTGAAAAATTTGCCACTGCTGCGTGACATTTAAACCACCCTGTATATCTATGACTGAACAAAAGTGGCAGTGGCGCAACTACTTTTTGGGGGCCCCTAGGCATGCGTCAAAATTTAAACTTTATTAACATATGTATGTATGTAGTAACAGTAGTAACTCGAAGTCAATTTTTTAATTGAAAAAATGCCTTCCTGGAAGATTTGAAGGGTCAGCTGTGACGTGGGCTTATCGTCCATGATGACCACTTTTCCCCGAATTTTCTTCAACAATTTCTTGCAGCACGTATGAATACTTTCCTTTTCGGTTGGTTTGTAATTTGGTGCTGGTTTTTTTGCCCTGGCTAACATCCCTAGTTTATGGACTTTGATTTTGCTCAAATAGCTTTTTGAAATCTTGACCTTCCTTGCCGCGGCAGCCATTGTCGGTGATGGATGATTTTAGAAGGTTTTTTTAATCCGATTTTTGACTTTTGTCGTCGCTAGCTTTACAGGTCGACCAGTAGGGACTTTGAATTTGGCGTCTTTGGATTCCCCGTACTTTTTTATGTATTAGTATACGTTGGATTCAGAAATACCTTCTTCTTTAAAAAAAATGCCAAGTAGTTTTGGAATCACTGTTTGCTTCATTTTTATGAAACTCAATTCCTCTTTCTTCCAACTCTTCCCTTTCAACCCACGTTTTTCGAGTGTCAGCCATGACTGGATAATTGGTGACATATATTAATGGAAAGCTTATAACTTGGTCTATTCAAAAATATTTTTTTTCGATATTTAATGTGTTCCCGTCTAGCGCGCCTTTGACGGGGCAGTGTCATACTATCGTGACCGATCTTTAATTAGTGTTTCCGATGAGTTCTAAATTAGTTGGGTTTAAATTCACTAAAATTAGTCACCAACTCGTGCTAACTTGATATTTTTAGGATTTGTTGACTTCCAAATTGGGCTATCAACTCAAAAATAAAACCACAAGTACAACATACTAATTACTCACATAAATTACGTAACTAATAAAATGATATGAAATAACTTCTATTTCAAAATTTTTGAATAAGTTATTTTGAAACAAGATAGTTAGATTTTGATACTGTGTCCACTCGGGGGCCCCTAGGCATTGCCTACCCTGCCTATGTGCTATTTGCGCCACTGAAAAGTGGTACATAAGTAATACCGTGTTGTGGTAAACTACACTCTTATAAATGGGGTTAGGATTATAACCTAAAAGTAAATGTATGTGACTCTACCGCCGTGGTTATGAATTTGTCACCAACTGGTTATAAATTTATTAGCTCTGGTGATAATTTCATACCAAGTTGGTGAAACTTTATAATTAGTGGGTGACAATTGTAACCACTCGGTGACAAATTTATAACCACGGCGGTAGAGTCACACACGTTTAGTTTTTGGTTATAATTGTAACCCCATTTCTAAGAGTGTACAGTACAGTAACCGTGTTCCCGTAATGAACTTATTTACTATTCGATAGGATGGCACTATTTTTAAGTGGGTGGATAATTATGTATTTTGGATACTGATACACACATAGATCTAATCTACCTGCTTTCCAGCCCTCATTAGAACGGCTCCAGCGAAGAAGTGGAGGGCCAGTTCGATGGTGAGAATGATGAAGAAGGAAATCCAAGGCAGAATACCGTACTGGCGGATGACACGTTTCAATAGAATGTCGCTAAAATTGACGACGACGGGTTCTGAAAAATTATTAGTTTTTATGACATTTTTTATGAAATTGTTTTATGAAGCTTTTTTTATATAAAATGAGTTTTTAGGACTGTGTTTGTAAAAGAAGTATGTATTTCTCATACGTACTCTCGATGAAATTCACGCCACCTTTTTTAACGTTGCGAATAAATTCAATGAACTTGTGAGCTTAAAAAAATGTTTATAGGAAAAATTAACTTATTAGCAAATTTTTGCACACTTATGTTTCAAACTTATTTTGTAAAAATTTGTAAAAGTATAGTAAACGCGGAATTTTTACGAGTCACAACGGCGGGCAGAGCCTGAGTATTTATTTCTCATTTCATCAAGCTAAACATATTTGCATACACACTTAGAAATAATTTTACTTTTTTGAAAAGCAAGTGCACTTTTTACTCCATATGAAGTCAAGTTTACTAAATCCAGAGTAACGCTTACTTGATACGGAGTAAACCTTACTTCATATGGAGTAAAAAGTGCACTTGCTTTTCAAAAAAGTAAAATTATTTCTAAGAGTGTAGAATGTTGGCAAATAAAACCATGCCAATTTACAAGGAGATTTTTCACGCATGGAAATCCCTCCAATTTATCACAGCTTGACAAATTTATAGTGTACTTGCGAGGCTCGCGAAATCTGTCGTGAGCATGGCCATGAAAACATCACTCACCTTTCAACACCAGTTCCATCGCGGTGTACTTATCATGCGCTTGATGCTCAATGATAACGAATGTCATCAATCCAGCGCCCGACATGAGACACATTATTCCGTTCAATGCCTGTAATTTAAAAGCTTAAATTAAGTTAAACAGTAAATTAAATAATTGTCACGACATATTTACAGACAATTGTGCAATTCACCATGGAAACGAACGCCATGAATTTGACGGCACTCTGCAAATTTATGCAGCAACAGGGTGACACCATTTTGGGAGAAGGGAAATTTGTTTATTACCGTAAATTAGTTTTAAAAAATATATTTTTTAATGTGTAATTCTGGACGTGGGGTAGGATTGGGTGATTGAATTACTTATGTGCGTAGGTATGTAGGTACAAATGAGAGGAATTACGTATGGCGAGATAATGAAGTCGTATATATGCTTTTCGGGTACCGGTACCATGGCTATCGG